CGCGGCGTACCGGACAGCAAACGGCCACAGAAAATGGGGAGCCGCCGCGTGGACCAAGGAGGTACGAGCGACCTCCATGACCAGGCCAATGCGGCGCTCAGCAACCCCATTCTGCTGTGGGGAGTCCGGAAGCATGAAGGTCTGCTCGATGCCCTCCGCCTGACAGAAGGTCCTCAAGAGGTCGGAGGAAAACTCACCACCTCTGTCAGAGTGCAGACGCAGGACAGGAAGATCCGTCCGGAAACGGCGGCGGAGCTGGAGACGAACTGTGCGGATCCAAGGGATCAGAACAGCAGGAACCTCACCCTTGGTGCGCAAGGGGAAGACCGTGGTGTAACGCGAGTAGTCGTCGACAACCAGCAAAAAGTACCGCTCACCGCCCTGGCCACGAACGCGGGCTGGGCCCCACACGTCCAGGTGGAGGGTCTGCAGAGGAGCCCCTGTCGGGGGGAACGAGGAGGAGTGAGGAGCGGCGCGCTGCCGCCCCTCGACGCAAGGAAGGCAAGGCGGCGCAGGCGAGGAAGGGAGAGGAGGGAGGGACCTGGGAAGACCAGACACAAGGCGGCGACGGTGCATGCCACGGAGGCGTGGCAAGGAGGGGTGACCCAGGCGGTGGTGCCAGAGAAGAGTCTGGTGCGACAGGGAACGACACTCACAGGCGTGGGCCACCAGACCTGACGCGGACACCTGACCGACAGCAGCGACCTGAGGAGACGCAGTGGTCAGTGTGTAGAGACTCGACCCCGGCCGACGAGTAAACGTAGCCAGGTGACGGCCGGTCCTGGAGCACGTGCAGATCGCCACACGCTGTCCTCCAGGGGTAAAGGTGTCAACCCACTGATCCTGGATGACAGCGTTGCTCACCAGGTTCGTCGAGAACGAGGGGAGGTGGAAACCCGTCAACGAGCCAGACGGAACCGCCGGACAAGGGAGCACAGTGGTGGACTGGGCAAGGACTGGGCCCCCAGAGGGGTCAGCCAAGGAGACTGGGACCGGTGCAGGAAGCGGTGTGAGCTCAGTACTGTCTCGAAAGAAACAGCGGGAAGCACCTGAGTCAAGGGTGAAGGTGTGACAGGTCTCAGCCGGTGCAGTACCTGAGAGAGCAGTCTCTGTGGGTGCTGTACCTGAGAGAGCAGACTCGCAAGCAGCAGGGACAGTGCTGGAGGGAGCAGGTACAGGGGGCACCATACCAGAGAGAGCAGACTCACTAGTACCTAGGGCAGCGGGCCCTATACCTGGGTCAGGCGGCACACACAAGTAACAGTCTCCCTCGGCACTAACAGTCAATGCATACATGGCAGCAATAATAGCATCATAGTCAAGAGCAAAGATATCAACACCAGCCCTCATCAGCTCAGCCCAGCGAGGGCGCTCAACATCCTCGCCCATCTCCTCACGCCAAGCGTCGTCAAGGCGGAAGAAGCAGCGGTACTGAGTGTGGAACTTTCCACACGTCTGCCCCTTGCGGTCACCTGTGCGAATGACATAGGAACAGCGGCCACTGCCCCCCGACGTCCCACGCTGAGCAAGCCACTCACGAAGCTGCTGGGTCGACTGGGGACGCTGCTGCTGCTGGGAGCTCTGGCCCGAGCCGGTGCCTCCACTCCGACCTCCACCGCCGCCACTACCTCCGCTCCGACCGCCACCACCGCCACCGCCACCGCCACTACCGCCACCGCCGCCACTGCCGCCGCTGCCACCACCGCCACTGCTCCCGCCGCCGCCCCCGCCTCCGCCGCCGGCCCCACTCCCACCGGCACTCCCGCCACCGCTCCCTCCAGCACCGCCTCCCCCCCCACCTCCCCCACCCCCTCCCCCCCCAGCGCCACCCCCGCCACCCTTGCCCCCCTTGCCCTTGCCGGTGCGGCGCCTCCCACCAGGAGCAGAAGCAGCGCCAGCAGACTCAGCACCAAGGAAGTCAACAGCAGCAGCAGTAGCGTAGGAGGGAGCGAGGGGAGAGGGAGAACACCCCTCAAAGATGGGGGTGCGAGGAGCGCCGCGAGCAGCACCTACAGCTACAATGCTCTTCTCGGCTGCTAGCAGCTTCTCCTCTAGGAGGGCGACAGTGAGCTCAGTGGGACAGCGAGCAAGGAAATAGTCGCGCACTGAGCTGAGGGTGTCAGGGAGACGGGTGACTATGAAGTGGAGTGCCCAGTACAGGGGAGGGGGGTTCTTAGCGCAGAACTCGGTGGGAAGGGCGGCACGCAGGCGAGCATCACTAGTGCGAAGGTGGGTGATAAGATCGGCGACTGTAGCAAAGGTGGACAGGTCAGGGAACAGGTAAGGCAGCATGAGACGGCTAAGCTCGGCTGTGGCAGGTGAGGAGTAGCGAGCAACGACAGCGTCGTATAGGGCTTTAGCGGTTTTGCAGTCGCCAAAGTGCTCTAGCTCAGCTAACGGCAGGTGACTGCGAATAGCCAGGCGAGCTGCAGCGTCACGAGTCTGCCACTGTGAACGTACACTAAGCTCGGCTGTGGCAGCAGGAGCAGCGGCAGCACCAGACGCGTAGTCATAGAGGGAGATGTGGTCCGTGCTATTGCTCATAAGATACAACTGCAGGTCGTCGAGCCAGGAAGTGAACTGCACGGGACGGCCCTCAGCATCGAAGGAAAGAACGCGAATAGAGGCCATGGCTCAGGCGTGAAGGCACAGCAGAGCAGCGGCAGCAGCAGAGGGGACGCGCTAGAGCGAAGCTAGCAGCCACAGCAGGAGCAAGCGGCGGTGCACAGGCAGGGAGCAGCAGGCGAGGCGGGCGGCGCTGCAGGCGGGAAGTGCGGCGGGCGGGCTGCGAAGCGGGCAGCGGGGCGGGCGGGCGACGCGGCGAGCGGGCAGCGCGGCGGGCGGCTGCGAAGCGGGCAGCGGGCGGGCGGGCGACGCTGCAAGCGGGCAGCGGGCGGGCGGGCGACGCTGCAAGCGGGCAGCGAGGCGGGCGGGCGACGCTGCAAGCGGGCAGCGGGCGGGCGGGCGACGCTGCGAGCGGGCAGCGAGCGAGCGGGCGACGCTGCGAAGCGGGCAGCGGGCGGGCGGGCGACGCTGCGAGCGGGCAGCGGGCGAGCGGGCGACACTGCGAGCGGGCAGCAAGCGGGCGGGCGACGCGGCGAAGCGGGCAGCGGGCGGGCGTGCGACGCTGCGAGCGGGCAGCGAAGCGGGCGGGCCGCGAAGCGGGCAGCGAGCGGGCGGGCGGGCTGCGAAGCGGGCAGCGGGGCGAGCGGGCTGCGAAGCGGGCAGCGGGGCGAGCGGGCGACGCTGCGAGCAGGCAGCGCGGCGGGCGGGCGGCGAGCGGGCGGCTCGGCGGGCGGGCGACGCTACGAGGGGCGCGCGAGGGCGCTAACAAGGGGCGCTTCGAGGGCGCTAGTGAGGGCGCGCGAGGGCGCTAACGAGGGGCGCGCGAGGGCGCTAACGAGGGCGCGCGAGGGCGCTAACGAGGGCGCGCGAGGGCGCTAACGAGGACGCACGAGGGCGCTACGAGGCTAGGGCACGGGGTAGCGTGGTAACCGCATGCGAGCGGTGGTGGGCCCTTAAAAGAAACGGTCGATAGGTCCTAGGGACCTCCTGCTCTGAATACCATGTTAAGAGAACTAGGCAAGAATGGTGCATTGAATGGGAGAATTGGGTACAAGTAGCAAACCCTAGTTGGGGTTGTACCCCATATGAGCTACCCCACTACAGCCTACCAACATATAACACATTACAATTTAACAAAGCCCTGCACAAAGCAAATACAAAGAAGTCAACGCACACAAGCCCTGCACAAAGATAAGATCGAGAAGTCAACACACACATGCCCTGCACAAGAAAGCATGAACAGAGAAAGCAACAGCACACCTTGCACAAAAAACAGCGTATGTTCACACACTGTGTGGCCATGACGCTAGCGCTTCAGGCACGGCACACTAGGTAGGTGCCATGCCAGCGCCCAAGCGTTACAGCCCGCTGCACGAGCGTGCTAGGCACTAGCCCACTAGTTGCCAACGGCCTAGACGAGCGTCTGAGGCGCCAAAATCTTAAAAGCCGATACTCTAAACGCTAGTGCAGAAAGCCCCAGTTTGTATAAGTAGCCCCAGTTTCCCAAGCACCAGCAGAATAGATGCTAGTGCCTACACCCCAGCGTGCTCATGCGCTCTCTCACGCGCTCTCTCGCGCTCCCTCACGCACTCCGTCACAAGCACCCAAACGCGCACTCTCACGCACACTCTCACGCACACTCTCACGCACACTCTCACAAGCACTCTCACGAGCACTCTCACGTGCTCTCTCACGCACTCTCTCACGCGCACTCTCACGGGAACTCTCACACTCTCTCACGCGCACTCTCACGCGCTCTCTCACGCGCACTTTCACGTGCTCCCTGACGCGCTCTCTCAGGCGCACTCTCAGGCACACTGTCTCGCGCTTTCTCTCGCGCTCTCCCTCACGCACTCGCACGCACATTCTCTCTCTCGCGCACTCTCTCACGTGCTCTCTCTCACGTGCTCTGTCTCACGCGCTCTCGCGCGCACTCTCACGCGCACTCTCACGCGCACTCTCACGCGCACTCTCACGCGCACTCTCACGCGCACTCTCACGCGCACTCTCACGCGCTCTCTCACGCGCACTCTCACGCGCTCTCTCACGCGCACTCTCACGCGCACTCTCGCGCGCTCTCTCGCGCGCTCTCTCGCGCGCGCTCTCACGCGCTCTCTCACGCGCACTCTCACGCAAACTCTCACATGCACTCTCACGCGCACTCTCACGCGCACTCTCACGCGCACACTTACGCGCACACTAGCGCTCTCTCACGCGCCCTCTCGCGCACTCTCTCATACGCACCCTCACGCGCTCTCTCACGGGCTCTTACACGCGCTCTCACGCGCACTCTCACGCCCTCTCTCACGCACTATCTCATGCGCTCTTTCACGCCCACTCTCACCTCACGCGCTCCCTCACACGCACTCTAACGACCACGCTCTCACGCGCACTCTCCTACGCAACCTAACGTGCGCTCTCTCACGCGCACTCTCATGCCCTCTCTCACGCACACCCTCACGCACACCCTCACGTGCTCTCTCACGCGCTCTCTCACGCGCACTCTCACGCGCACTCTCACGCGCACTCTCACGCGCACTCTCACGCGCTCTCTCACGCGCTCTCTCACGCGCTCTCTCACGCGCTCTCTCACGCGCTCTCTCACGCGCTCTCTCACGCGCTCTCTCACGCGCTCTCTCGCGCACTCTCTCACGCGCTCGCTAACGCACACTCTCACGCGCTCTCTCACGCGCACTCTCACGCAAACTCTCACATGCACTCTCTCGCGAACTCTCACGCGCACTCTCACGCACACACTCACGCGCACACTCGCGCTCTCTCACGCGCTCTCTCGCGCACTCTCTCATACGCACCCTCACGCGCTCTCTCACGGGCTCGTACACGCCCTCTCTCACGCGCTCTCTCACGCGCTCTCTCACGCGCTCTCTCACGCGCTCTCTCACGCGCTCTCTCACGCGCTCCCTCACGCGCTCTCTCACTCACACTCTCAGGACACTCTCACGTGCTCGCTCTCGCGCACTCTCACGCGCATTCTCTCTCTCACGCGCTCTCTCACACACACTCTCAGGACACTCTCACGCGCTCGCTCTCGCGCACTCTCACGCGCATTCTCCCTCTCACGCGCTCTCTCACGCGCTCTCTCACGCACACCCTCACGCATACCCTCACGCGCTCTCTCACGCGCTCCCTCACGCGCTCTCTCACGCGCTCGCTCACGTGCTCCCTCACGCACTCCCTCACGCACGCGCTCCCTCAGCCCGCTAGGCGCCAGCGCGCTAGGCGCCAGCGCGCTAGGCGCCAGCGCGCTAGGCGCCAGCGCGCTAGGCGCCAGCGCGCTAGGCGCCAGCGCGCTAGGCGCCAGCGCGCTAGGCGCCAGCGCGCTAGGCGCCAGCGCGCTAGGCGCCAGCGCGCTAGGCGCCAGCGCGCTAGGCGCCAGCGCGCTAGGCGCCAGCGCGCTAGGCGCCAGCGCGCTAGGTGCCAGCGCGTTAGACGCCAGCCCGTTAGGCGCCAGCGCGCTAGGCGCCAGCGCGCTAGGCGCCAGCGCGCTAGGCGCCAGCGAGTTAGACGCCAGCGCGCTAGACGCCAGCGCGTTAGGCGCTAGCGCGATAGGCGCCAGCGCGTTAGGCGACCAAAGAGGAGAGCAATGGGAGTGTAATGCTAAGAAAATTCAGCATAGAAAACTTACGAAGAAAGTAGAAAACCTATTAAAATTCGGCGGGAGGAGGGAGGTAAAAAGGTCCTAGAAACGTAAACGCACCTGAGACTGCGGTTTCGCATAAAACAACGCGAGGTCGTTTAGCAACCCGCGCTCACGCTCGTGCACCCACCAGAGGCGACGACGGGAAGGGAGGGAGAGGCGACGGCGAGGAGGAAGGGAGCGGCTATGACGGGGCGGGAGGGGCGATGGCGGTTGGGAGGAGGGAGAGGCGCTGGCGGGATGGGAAGGAGAGGATACACTGGGATGGGAGGAGAGGCGACACGGGATAGCTAGTAGATGGGAAGAACCAAGAACTGAGAATCAAGAATCAAGAACAAAGAACCAAGAACCAAGAATCAAGAACCAAGAGGAAAGCGTCGAATTCGAGTTGACAATGTGAAAGGAAACAATACAGTTTTTACTCGTTAGAAGAGCGTGTAATCTTTGGGGCAGATGAGATTCACATTGTATTGCTAGGACAAACTGGACAACTAGGCATGGACAATCTTTCATTTAGGTGTATATGTAGAAATATGAGCAAGATACTAATTTGAAAGCTGTGCTACGTGAAACACACGCATAACTATCTTATCAAACTACTGTTGAAAATAACGAACCACTATAGTAACTGGACGGTGCAATATAGTAAGATGGAGCTAAAAAATATTATCTATTTTAATAACAAAAATATCATCACTGTTCGAATCGCTACCTTTTGATACTTGACAAGCTTTCAAACATGTACATAATTACTATTTTTCTCTAACATGTCTTTTCCATAAGTATAATATATAATATTCCATCATATGTTTCTTATACCACTAGAAACAACTCTACGCAACCCTTCCGACGTAAACGTCGAGTCTTGTTTTTTACGATAAAGTAGATTTCCATTCTGTAACTTCAATATATTAGTGAGGCTTTGTTTAGTATGTTAGATCGTCCCAATTGTCGACGTTTATCACCGCACGAAAGGTCGCCCGTCGCTCGCTCATCGGCGTGCCGCATACCGCCTGTCTCGTATCGTCGATTTCTCGTCAGCGATAGCTGGCCGGCCGATGACGCGCCAATCGCACAGCAAAGAATTTCAGCTCGAAAACCGGGGACCGGCGTCTACGCGGTCCGTGCGGGCAGCAGCGGCGGCGGCGGATGGGATGGATGGGGAGGCGCAGCTGTCGGCGGAGGAGGCGCAGGTCCTGAGGGACATTCAGGCCATTATCGAGGTGCTTCACGTTAACCTAGGGCTCTCGCGACATTCGTTAATATCGCGACATTCTGGACTCTAGTGACATCGCACGTTTCGCTCACCTCCCTTCTGTCCGCGTTTCACCTTCCCCCACCCCTCCCCATTCCCCCCCCGCTTACTCTGCCGCGCACCAATCTCCGCGAGCCTGCCGCTTGCAGATTCGCCTGGTGCTGCTGATCGAGGTCCAGCGCGAGGCGGAGCGGCGGTGGCAGATGGGCATCGAGAACGGAAGCGGGTGATCCTGCGACGAGATCGCCGACGCTTTCCGCGAGGTAAAAGGGGGAGGGGAAGAAGGAGAGGCGCGCGCATGGGAAGTTTGGAGGGGAGGTGGGGACGGGGAGAGGGCGGAGCGAGGTGAGGGGGCGGGGGGTGCACGGCGAAAAGGGACGTTTTCAACACTCGTGTTTTGCTCGTCAAAGTCGCAACACCTGCTCCACCTCTCCCTGCTCGCGTCCGTTGGGCGCACATGTGTGCACACCGTGCGTCAAGCCCCACCCTTAGCCCTTCGTGCCCTGCCCAACCTTTCCCCCTCAGTGCCCTTCCCAACCTTTCCCCCTCAGTGCCCTTCCCAACCTTCCCCCCTCAGTGCCCTGCCCAACCTTCCCCCCTCAGTGCCCTGCCCAACCTTCCCCCCTCAGTGCCCTGCCCAACCTTCCCCCCTCAGTGCCCTGCCCAACCTTCCCCCCTCAGTGCCCTGCCCAACCTTTCCCCCTCAGTGCCCTTCCCAACCTTTCCCCCTCAGTGCCCTTCCCAACCTTCCCCCCTCAGTGCCCTTCCCAACCTTTCCCCCTCAGTGCCCTTCCCAACCTTCCCCCCTCAGTGCCCTTCCCAACCTTCCCCCCTCAGTGCCCTGCCCAAACTTCCCCCCTCAGTGCCCTGCCCAACCTTCCCCCCTCAGTGCCCTGCCCAACCTTCCCCCCTCAGTGCCCTGCCCAACCTTCCCCCCTCAGTGCCCTGCCCAACCTTCCCCCCTCAGTGCCCTGCCCAACCTTCCCCCCTCAGTGCCCTGCCCAACCTTCCCCCCTCAGTGCCCTTCCCAACCTTCCCCCCTCAGTGCCCTGCCCAACCTTCCCCCCTCAGTGCCCTGCCCAACCTTTCCCTCTCAGGTTCACCCCACCCTTTCCCCTCTCCCGTCCCTACCTCAACCCCCACCTGCCCCTACAGACAGCAGTGGCACAAGGACTGCATGCGCGCGGCGGGAAGGTACTGCGCAAGCTGGTTTAGGGTGCACTGGTGGGAGGATTCATGGCAGCACCTGAAGCAGTAAGAGAAGGGGGTGCACTGGTGGCAGGATGTGCAGCAGCATCTGCAGCAGTAGGAGGGGCAATTGAAGTCGTGACTGCAGTTACAACAGCAGCTGCCATAAAGGCAGTGGCAGCAGCAGCAGGAGCAGCAGCAGCAGCATCCGCAGCAGCATCAGCAGGGATCGTGCGCCGGCAGACCGCATGGTGCTGGTTTTGAGACGTTTTGCGCAAGCTGGCGCAAGACATGCACGAGTAGCCGCGCCTACGGGTGAGTGAGGGGGAGGAGGGGGGAAGGGGGAGAAGGGGGGAGAGAAGGGGGAGAAGGGGGGTGAGTGGGGAAGGGGGAGGAGAGGAAGTGGGAGAAGGGGGAAGGTGAGGTCTACGAAACAAGAAGTACAGGACGGGGTGGAAGCTCTGTCCCTGTTCTCTCCTCTCTCATATCTTCTCCCCTCGTTGTTCTGCCTCCCTTCCCCGTCTTCTCTCCCCTCTCCGTCCCATCTCCTCTCCTTTCCCTATCCTCTCTCTCTCTCTCTCCCCTGCCTTATCTACCTGTCCTGCCCCCCTCTCTGCCCTGTCACTTCTCCCCTCCTTGTCATTTCTCCCCCCCCACTATCATTTTTCTCATCCCTGCTCACTCTTTCTTTTCCCCTGGCTTACCATTGTTTCCCCCCTAACTCTTTCTTTTCTCCCTGCTTACCCTTTGTTCCCTCAATCTCACTCTTTTCTCTTCCCCAGGCTCTTTCTCTCACCGTCCTTGTCCCTATGCCATTCGCTATCTTACAATCTTTTTATACTCCCCTGTCTGCTCCTTCGCACCTTCCCTCTCCCTTCAGCGGTGCTGGTCGCCGAGCATGACGTAACCAAGATGACAATTAGTTGAACCTTGGATTGTGTGAACCCTCTCCGCGTCAAGAATTGTCGAATGAAGTTACTTACAACGGAATATACAATCGCTTTAGGTGTCAGGATATCCAATAATGATGGTGCTAGTAATGTTTGGTTTTTTTGTGAAGGGCTCCTTTTTTTGCAGCACTGCTATGTGTAGAGTACAATCGTTTTATAAATAACTCAAATTACAAAACAGTCTGCCACCACTCCTCTTAGTGCCTCAGCCCCTCCATGTGCTCTTGTGCCTGCTGCCGCACACTCGCGCCACCAAACATGTGAAGGCAAAGCACGGGTTCGTCCTGCACATAGCAGGACACTAGAGGAGGAGGTAGCATACTCACATGGTGATGCAGGGTGGAGAGATGGTGAGGCAGGGAAAAAATAGGAGCTTAGGAAGGGAGGTGAAGAGACGCAAATGGATGGAAAGGGAAGGGAAGGGAACGAAAGGGAAGGGTTGTGCATTGTGAGGGAGTGAGAAGGTGCTATGTGAGGGGGAACGGGGTGGTGCGACCTGGGGTGAGGGGAAGTGCGACCTGGGGGAAAGGGGAGGTGCGACCTGGACAAGGGGAGGTGGGTGGGTCATGTGACACGGCTAAGGTACGGACAGGCTGGGAGGAGGGGAGGGAGAAACTACTTGGTACAGGCTGTAGAAGCGGTACCAGGGGTATAAAGCAGGACTAAAATGGGGGTGTGAGGGGGTACTAAGGACCGGAAGAAGGGCAGATTGGAGGTGGGCAGAAATCGCAATAGGAGGTTTCGTATCGTGGGCGAATTTTCTAGGAATGGGAAGGGTAGAGAGGAAGGGATGAGAATGCAAGTATGAGACAGGGGAGGCGCAACTATGGATGGAGGGAAGGCGCAAGGAGGGGGCAGCATACGTAACAAGGGAGAGGATGTGCGACGGGGGGCAGCGCAATGAGGGGTGGGGAGGCGTGACAAGAGAAGGCACGATGAAATGAGGGGAGGTGTGACGAGCATCCCCACTTCGCCCGCGCACACCTCACCCACACACCAAACACCCGCCTTCCTTTCCACATACCCGCCTGCCATTTCCCTCACAACCCACCCTACTTTGAACTTTTTCCCCACCTACCACTCGCCTTCCTTCCCACATACCCACCTCCGTCCCCCCCACAACCCACTCTACTTTTTCCCCGACCGTGTAGACATGGCAGAGCAGGAACATGATGATGGGATATGGGGAAGGGAGGAGATTAGACCTGCAGGAAGAGGGCAGGAGGTAAAGTCCCGGCCAGGAAACAGAGCAGGGGGAGGGGAGGGTACTACGGAGGGAGTTGACGGAGCACATGTATGGGGCGAGTTGAGTGGGTTCGAGCAGTGGGGAGATAACAGGACAAGGAGGAGAGAGGACCTAAACCTGTTGGACAGGAGGACAAGCGAGAGAGAGGAGGACAGGGGGAGAGAGGAGGCCAAGGGAGAGAGGAGGCCAGGGGAGAGAGGAGGACGGTGGAAGGAGAGGGCCATGAGGGAGAGAGGTGTGGTTGGAGAAGGGGGGGAAGGGGGTAGAGAGGAGGACAGGGGGGGGGGGGGGGGGGGGGGGGGGGGGGGAGAAGTGGGTTAGGAGGGAGAGAGGACCCGTTGGAGAGAGGTCAGGACGGGGTGGAATGAGGAGGGGAAGCAGGGAGGAAGGAACAGGGGAACTAGGGCCGGGAAAACGGGGAAGAAAAGGGGGAAAACGAGGAGAAGCGGGATAGGGAAGGAGGGGAAGCAGGAGGTCGAAATAAGGCAACACAAGGCGAGAGATGGAGAGCATGTTGTGGGGACCTGTGGGGGAGTGAGAAATCAGGGGAAGGAAGGCGGGACATGAGGGAGAGAGGGCCCCGATGGATCGACAGAGGTAGAAAGAGGGGAGAGGGTGGGTGAGGGGGTCATAGGATGGATGGGGGGGGAAGGGATCAGAGTGGTTAGGTGAGGAGGAAGGTGAGTGTGACAAGGAGATTCTCAGAGTGGGAAAATGGAGGATATTGGAGGAGGGGAGAGGGGGATCGGGGGGGATAGGGAATAGGGAGGATCGCAATGAGTGCAAAAAAGGGGGGGGAGGCGAGTGTAAAGAAGGGGTCTCAAATGAGTGCACCCAGAGGGTGTAACTCAACCCTAAATAGGGAACGAAACTGAGTGTCAAACAGTGGAGGAAAATGAGTGCAAACAGGAGGGGAAGCTGAGTGCGGGGGTTTGAACTGGGGGGAGATTATAGGACGGGCGAGGCAGGGAGACGGCGAGGCGAGGCGACGGCGGCGAGGCGACGAGGCGGCGATGTGGCGAGGCGGCGAGGCGGCGGTGGGGCGAGCCGGCGGGCCGGGGGGGCGGCGAGGCAGCGATGTGGCGAGGCGGCGATATGGAGAGGCGGCGATATGGCGGCAATGCGGCGGAGATGCGTCGATGAGGAGGATGGGTTTCGGCGAGTCGGGGAGGCGAATGCGAGATGGAGACACGGCGAGGAGGCAGCGACGTCGTGAAGACGACGCGCCGCGCAGGCGATGACGGTGCGAGCTAGCCACGATTTCAGCACTAGCATGCGATGAGGCTTGGCGCCGTATATACTCTGTCGTAGTAGCGCTAGCTAATGTACGATATGAATTTGCGTAGTAATGGCGGTACCTTCGTGTTCAAAGTTGAAGCTTGCTTCTACCGTTATCACTTGCTTCTGCGATTGTATATCAAGGAACTCGCGGTTATCACTTGGTTGTTTGCGTTGCGCCCCAGGCTTGATTTCCGCCCTGGCGCTGTGTATTTCCCCCAACACAACCTCCGTACGAATTAGGTTGGCGTCGCGAGCCTTGATTGAATCTCTCGCACCAGCTCTCCGTACCCTGAACAGTTCGTTATCGAATCAGCTCGCCTCAAAGGGTGTACATGACAATGCCCTCAAAAACCACCCCCAGGAAAGTGCACCGTAAAAAAATGGGTTGACAATCTATCTGGTGTTTTACGGGAAGGACTCGGAATGTGCATTCAGTGTACACTTCGATAAAAGTCTGAAAAATCAGTGTTTGCTATGAAATAGAGGCTGAAAAAATCAGTGTCACAAAAATCTCAACACTGAAAAATCAGTCTAGGTACAAAACTAGGCTGAAAATCAGGAATTTCAGGGAAAAATTCCTGATATCGTAGGGCCTGGAACCCACCCAAAAATCACACGCGCCCTAATTGTCTAGGCGTGAAGGTTTTGGGACAAGCCACAGCAATAATTGTCTTTCGGTTTGGAACACACAGCTGATGGTACGCGTTATGAGCTGTAAAAAATAGTGCACAACTTAGAAAGCTCCAAGCATAGAGTTGATCCCATACAAATGTCAATGAATACTTGGACAGTTTCATGACCACTTCACAACCCCAAAAACAAAAGGTTCTCTCTTTTGACTGCTGAGGCTCCCGCACGTTTATCTGCCCTTGATCGTTCAAGCTCCTCTTGCCATTTCTCCGCTTCCATCCAATTTCCAGCGCAACATATTGCATAAACCAAAATTGTCACTGCCAATCAGTTGAAGACTCCACAACAATTTGCATTGGCATCTGCGGCTCGTAGCAATCCCTGAAGACGCGAGGTGACTTATGAGTCGACTCAAGAATACCTGTCAATCAGTTGGAGACTCCACAACAATCTCTGCAGTGGCACCTGCTGCTCGCAGCAATCCTTGCAGATACGGCAACACGCCAACAGCATCCCTCCACGCCCTCCCTCCCGCTCCTGCTGCCCCTCCCCCTCCAGAACCACTCCCACAGATGCTGCCACTCCCGGCACTGCTTTTGAGTCTCCTCACATGCTCCTTCACCTGAGCTATCACCGCATCCCTGTGCCCGTCACGACATGAATACGAAACCACCTCCGAAGCTGGTTGGGTCATCAGAAGCAGATCCATTCCACCACTATCAATCCCTGCACTATCCCTCCCCCCCACCTCAATCCCACCTGCCCCACTAAGCTGACTCTTTGAAACCTCCTCGTTTGCTATTTTCATAGAGTCCCCTCCACCGCCTGTCAACTTGTTGCGGGCGTTATCCCATCCCTCTGGACGAGCAACTCCACTTTGCCTCTCATGCTGCTCTGTGCTCCCACAGTGCACCTTACCTGTAAGCACCGCTCCCAACCGAGCTCCAAACCCCGTTCCCACGCCCACCCTATTCTTTCCCCGGCTCTGATGCGACAGCACAAGCGCCTGCCCCTTAATTTGAGAAAGCGGAGCCTTCCGAGAAGTTCCCTTGGCGGCTGGATCGGCAACCGCTGTTCCCGTGACACCCCCGTGACTCCCCTGGCTGCTGCTGTGAAAGCTCCTGCCATTTTCGGGGTAAATAGTGGAGATTGCCCTTTCTCCGTGCATCCCAGAGGTGGAGGTGATAAGAGTCTCAATGGCCGACGCCAGATCCCCCTCATTGGCCAATTCATCAACAGCACCAGCCGCGTCAGCCCCTGTTCCCTCTCCCCCTGCTCCATCTTCCCCGCCTGCACCACCCCCTGCTGTGCGTTCACCGGTGTTACACACGTTGCGGTTACCACCATCATCACCAGCACCGTCACCACCAGTATTTCCATCATAATGGTTACCAGCACCCTCCGTGTCCCCCCTGCGCTCACCACAATCCCCTCTGGAAGTGTCACAGAGAGTCCCTTGATCGGCATTCTTATCAAGATCGCTCTCATCGGCGTGATCGACACCATTAGTCCCCACCCACCCAGGAAAAACTTTTTTGGACCTGTTAGAAGCAGCTGTGGCGCTTCCACTGCCTGCAGCTTCCACTGCACACCTTTCCACACCCTCCTTTACCGTTGTCTGCTCCACTTCCTCATCCCTCTGCCTCGATTCTCCACCTCCCACTCTTCGCTCCACAGCAGCAGCAGAGGCTGCAGCAGCAGGGGATGCGTCAGCAGTAGTGTATACGCCAGGGGCGGACACACAGGTCACAGCAGCAATGGGATGGTTCGGGCTGGAAAATCGACTTTCTTCCGCACTCACCACCACGCCATTCCCCACCATCCTCCCAGCTACTCCCTCTGCCGCAAAGCCTCTTCTCTCCTCCATCGGCCTTGCTCTCTTCCTCTTGCTCCCCTCATTATCCTCATTCCCTTCATCCTTCTCCTCATTCCCTTCATCCTCCTGATTCTTGGGATTCCTCTCCTGTACATCCCCGTCCTTCCTGACGCTTACCATAGCCCCATGATCCCCTTTCCCCTCGCGCACTGCCCCATCACCCCTGTCGCCGTCCCTGGTAACCCCATCACCCCCTGACAGCCACTCATTTCGCCCTGCTTTCGCCATCCACTCCATTTGATCCGGCTCCTTCCATCCCCTTCCTTCATCCGCCGCGGTCGCAACTGCTCCCACAGCATCTCTTCCCTCTACTGCCTCTCCTACCCTTGCTACCCCTGACTCCCCCCTTCGTGCCCCTGCAACGTTCCCTGCTGCCGGTGTCCTTGCCAACCCCCCTTCATGTGAGATTTCGCCGTCCCTTCGCCCCGGGAACTCCAACTTCCCCCAGACTTTCCCCTCAGCCTTCCGCTTCCCCACAGCGTCTCCCTCCCCCGCAGCCTCTCCCTTCTCCGCAGCCTCTTCCCTCCCTGCAGCCTCTCCCCTCCCGGCGACTTCTCCCCTCCCGGCGACTTCTCCCCTCCCCACATCCTCCCCTCTCCCCGCGGCCTCTCCCCTCCGCACGGCAAGCGCGCCCCCCTGGGTGACGGCAAACCGCCCCCCCTCCAGCTGGCTCAGACTCGGCGGCGGGGGGTGAAACGGTCCAGTTGGCGCGATCCCATTGGCTCGCACGCACGCGTGCAGCCACTCCTCGGTAACCACCGCCACGTTACCCCACCGCATCGCGCATTCGTACTTGTCGCCGGACGCCACGGAGCAGACGAGATGCGAGGTCCGACGGTCCATCTTCTCTGTATGGAGCGCGCCGAGCGCGATGCAGAGGCAGCGGATGTTCATGCGGCGCGCGCCGCCGTATTGCGATACGCAGAATTGGAAGGATTGGATTCCCGGGAGGGGGATCGTGCAGGGGAGGGGACGGAGAACGAGATGGGAGGAGGGGTCGATCAAGCGATTGTCGTGATGCGACCTGAACACCCAATGCGACGAGACGACGCGATGCGACGGATGCGATAATGAGTGTGATTGGTCCGTGCTGCCGTGGGCTTTCACGATGATCGGCGACGCGTGGCGTGACGCGTCGCTGATGACCGTGCCGCCTCCCGCCATGATGACTCGATATAAGCGGTCGCGAATGTCGGAGGAGAGGGTTGGACTGAGGAGGAACACCTCATTTTGGAAGACTGAAGAGAAGGGCATGCGAGTCGGGACGGGAATTCCGGCCCGTCGCAGCGACGACGTGGTAACCTGGCTCATGCTACTGGCGATAGCGAAGTCTCATCCACCAACAGCTACGGCGACGAGCGTTTATCGATGTGTGTTGGAGGAATGGAGACAAAAGAAACGCCGGGGTTTCGTGTCCTACGGACACCGACACGCAGCTCAACCAGCCAGGCGTTGATGGTTTGAAATGGATGCCTGGGCGAGAGCTGCCTGCTGCTAGTCACCAAGATTGAATTCGTGGACTGAACTGATGATGACTTCTAGGCTAGAAGCCTAGATTCTGAAAGGGAGAGTAGGCGATGGGGCTTGGGAAGGGAACCCCGATGTGGGGATTGGGAACCTAAGGACGCGGCACCTGTTTTCATTTTGCCAGGATCGGGGCCTCACATCGATCCTGACACATCGATCGGCACACCGATGTGCCCACACTGAAAATTTGCAGTGGGGTAGACACATCGAGCTATAGGTGCCAGGATCGAAATTGCAGGATCGGGCAGGCTGAGGACGCGGCACCTCTTTTCAATTTGCTAGGATCGATCGTGGAAGGGGACCGATGTGCCGTTTGTACAGTGAATTGGCGACGTCCCTAATGCCTGGTATCCGTTTTTCGCAGGACGTCGAAGATGTACAGTAAACGGGTACCCAAAATGGTGGCACCTGCAGCTTGCACGATCGATGTGCCGTGGTACACACATCGATCGTGCGTTTGGTTTGGCGGGAGAGCATATCGCGCCACAGGTGACAGCCGCGATCGATCGGCGTCGCCCACGGTCGCAGGCAAACAATTCTCGAGTCGTTGCGAATGAAATTGCTGGGCGACCAACCACGCTCTGCCCTGATTGGCTGCGCGTTGCAGTGTGTTGCTGTTCCGGCGCAGCTCCAACCTGCCCGATCCTGCAATTTCGATCCTGGCACCTATAGCTCGATGTGTCTACCCCACTGCAAATTTGCAGTGTGGGCACATCGGTGTGCCGATCGATGTGCCAGGATCGATGTGAGGTCTCGATCCTTCCCAGATCCTGGCAAAATGAAAACATGTGCCGCGTCCTGAATACACCAACACACTGCAACGCGCAGCCAATCAGGGCAGAGCGTGGTTGGTCGCCCAGCAATTTCATTCGCAACGACTCGAGATTTTTTTGCCTGCGACCGTGGGCGACGCCGATCGATCGCGGCTGTCACCTGTGGCTCGATGTGCTCTACCGCCAAACTAAAAGCACGATCGATGTGTGCACCGCGGCACATCGAACGTGCGAGCTGCAGGTGCCACCAATTTGGGTACCCGTGTACAGTACATTTTCGAATTCATGCGAAGAACGGATACCATGCATTGACGATGTCGCCAATGCACTGTATAAGCGGCACATCGATCTCCTCCTACGATCGATCCTGGAAAAATGAAAACAGGTACCGCGTCCTAAGGACGCGGCACCTGATTTCATTTTGCCAGGATCGAGGCCTTGCATCGATCCTGACACATCGATCGGCACACCGATGTGCCCACACTGAAAATTTGCAGTGGGGTAGACACATCGAGCTATAGGTGCCAGGATCGAAATTGCAGGATCGGGCAGGCTGAATACACCAACACACTGCAACGCGCAGCCAATCAGGGCAGAGCGTGGTTGGTCGCCCAGCAATTTCATTCGCAACGACTCGAGAATTTGTGGCCTGGGACCATGGGCGACGCCGATCGATCGCGGCTGTCACCTGTGGCTCGATGTGCTCTACCGCCAAACCAAAAGCACGATCGATGTGTGCATCGCAGCACATCGAACATGCGAGCTGCAGGTGCCACCAATTTGGGTACCCGTGTACTGTACATTTAAGAATTTGTGCGAGAACCGGATACCACGCATTGACGATGTCGCCAATGCACTGTATAAGCGGCAAATGGTGCCGTGCTCACGAACGAACGAATGGTGTGTTACAATGACAATGACAAGGCCGCCATGGATTCTTCCGCAGACGTTCGAGAACCTATTTCGTGCAGGTTACTTATCAGTTCGTAACTCTGAGACCATTTTCGAGGTCCTGAGTACAATACGAAGCAGAGGATATAATTTTTATGTCTACTACGCGGACATTATAACCTCGGCTACTCAGGCGTATCCCAGTGTTGCAAACACATTACAAGCTAACCAACCTCAAGGGTTTCTTGTTACCATCGGCAGTTTCCAAGGCTCTCACAATGAACAACGCCTTTGCAATATTAATACCAATCGTAACCTCTACACAGCTGCTCGATTTCCAAGACATGATCCCGAGGCTACGACCTCGGGAGTTCATCATCACCTCCAGGAAAACAAGTCACGTGTTCCAAGGACCTTTTATAAGGAGGTGGTGCTCAGACCTCAAGCAGCATCAGCTTCTTTTGGGCTCCAGTCATTTCTCTTTCGGCTGCTTTCTGAGTCTCATCATCGCATCATGCCTCCGAAACGGACGATGAAGGCTACTGCGGAGGTCACGCTCCCGGACGACCTCCTAACGGACCCGATCATCACGCCGGTTCCTGCTGGGGATGGGGCTGAGAAGCAAGGATCGAACAACGCGGTTAATGTTCCTGCAGTCACGGATAACGCCGCCGGATCCGTCAAGGAATCGGCTACTACTGCTGCTGCTGTCGCCGGTGGCTCTGGTCTGTCAGTGGAAGAGAAGAGTCAGGACAACCAGGCTCCCATTGCTGTGACCGACGAGTTCCTGGAAGATGATGAAGATGAAGAGCTGGAGATTGACATTGCCAAGGAAGATGCTTTTCGTCTTCGCTTTACAGCAATCTTACTCATTCCGATGGTGCTTTCTCAGGAGATTAAGGCCATTATTGCTGCAGTGCGTCTCCTGATGACCAAGGTCTGGAGCTCATCTTTAACCGAGAATGCTGGGGTGACGGCTAACATTCAGGAGATGGTTCCTGGTTACGTTGCGAAGACGCGGTTCTGCCGACTCCAAATCTCCTTTCTGGATGAGCGGGATGCGCACCACATCAAGTTTCATGTATTTGAGTACCAGAAGGCGAATGCTCCGGCGATCAAGTGTATCTGGCAGCATACGGAGAATGCTTCGTACCTTAAGGAGAAGGCAGCTCGTCCGTTCGCTATTGAAGTGATTTTCCGTCGCGTGCCTGCTAACATTGTCCCGGATGTTTTGAAGGACCTGCTTGTTCGCTTTAAGCTGAAGAAGCGTCAGCAGTCAGCTTTCAAGGAAGGGTTTGGTTTCCACCGGGTAGCTCACCCACTCACCGGAGCTGATACCGATGTGATCAAAGGCTTGGTCGTTCAGCATCCTGGGGATCGTTATCGCTGGCGTCATGTGGTCGACAACCCGATGGGGTCCGGAGAGAAGCTTCTGGTCCACTACCCTGCACTGTCCTGCCAGCTCTGCAATGGACAGCATTATGACATCTATCATGATCTGTTCATCACAGAGCGGCAGAACAATATAGGGAAGTGGAACCTCACTTTGGGGAAAGCTCATAGTATCAATGGTAACTGCATCAGCCTTTTTCTTAACATCACAGATTTACCTCTTTCGGCTCTTATTGACGATCTCTATTGCGCTCGCAGCTGCTTCTCTGCGCACCTCCGCTCTTGTCACTCCCATACTGAAAGACCCATCCATCGCTCTTGTCTCGACCGACAGCAACCGCGAAGAATGGATCTGTACACAAGTGTGCTGCGGGAAGGCAAAGGGGAAAACTTTCCTGGCTGCTGCGGATCACATCATTTCTTCGACTCACCTGCTGAACCAGGAGAAGCTGGGTACTGCTACAAAAGCGTCCATGGACAAGACCAATCTTGCCGGACTGAAGAAGGATTTCAACTTCTGAGGCTGCAGAATGAGAACCGTGTGCTGTTAGCGATCGTAGGGTGGAGTTGCAGTAGTCAGTGTAGTCACCATCTTCGGCCTGTGGATGAACAGGGGCCTCCAGGCAGTTATCAAATGAGTAACAAAAATTTCTTCTCCTTAGCAGGCCTTAACGTCAACGGCCTAGGCGACAAAACAAAGCAAGACAGAGTCTCATCTTGGTCTAGAACAGCAGCGGATATCATCATTCTCACAGACACAAGACTTCCAGATAATCATACCTTCTGGAAAACCCCATCCTTCACCACGGTACTCACAACACCACCCACTGATAAGGCCGGCGGCGTAGCCGTTCTTACCAGAGACCCTTCTGTCCTTCTCACAAACACCAGAACCCACCCATCAGGGAGACTGATAGTAGCCACCGCCAGTCGCTTCGGTTTCACTCTTTCCCTTCTTGCCGCCTATTTTCCCGCAGACGCCACTGACAGATGTTCCTTTTTGATGAACGTAGTCAGTCCGGCCTTCGACCAGATCCCCATCACTGACCATGTAGTTCTTCTAGGCGACCTGAACATGGTAGAGGACCCAGTTTTAGATCGGACGTCTCAATTAGGCACCTCCTTAGAAAACGACAGACTCATTTCACGCTGCAACCGCTTTCAGCTCTCAGACGCTTTCCGCACGCTCCACCCTAAGCTCAGAGAATATACCTTCTACGCTGCTTCCAAGCAATCCAGCTCTCGCATCGACCGCGCACTAGTCTCTTGCTCGCTGCTCCCGCATCTTGACATAGCTGCACACATACGGCCGGAGGAATACATTTCAGATCATGGCTTCGGGATAAAAATCGCCTTAAAAATTAAAGCATCCTCTCACCTGGGTCCTGGCATCTGGAGGTTGCATGCAGCAGCCCTAGGCAGACCTGGTTTCCGGAAAGCGGTAGAAGCTGCTTTAGCAAAGACGGCTGAGGAAGGGGCTGGGAACTTCGAGTTATTACTGGGGAGGCTCAATGCTGGGTTACGCGCGTATATGAAGGAGGAGAACAAAAGGGTGAAGAAAACAACGGCCTATCTGGCAGAGGTAGTGGCGGAGCTGCATCAGGAGCAGATGCGCAACCCGGGCTGCCAGAAGACGAGAGACCTGCTTCATGTCAGGGACGCGCAACTGAAAGAGTATCACGCGTCAAAAAGGGACAGACTTCACGTGATGACGGGAACAGATGTGGAGTTAGCTGGGGAGGTCCCTTCACCTTTCCTCTCAGCGAGAGTCAAGGTCAGGAAGCAGAAAACACAAATTGCGGAGCTGGAGGTGGGCGGCGTCAAGATCTCTGACTCACCCGGGATCCTGAAGGTTGCGACGCGGTACTTCACGGACCTGTTTGGCACTGACGGTCGGACGTCGGCAGAGAGGTGGAAACCGCTTGCTGGGAGAAAGCTGGATGCAGAGTCGGCTGCTGGGCTTGCAGCAGATTGGACGGAGGCGGAAGTGAAACAGGCTTTCAAAGCGCTTGCGGACGGCAAATCGCCTGGGAAGGACGGACTCCCGAAAGAACTTTTTGAAAGGCACTGGGATGTCCTCGGTGACGAGTTCCTCCGCTTGGCGCAGTCTTTCTCAGGTTCAGCATCCATTCCTGCAAGCATCAAGGAAGCGGTTACTATTCTGCTCCACAAAAAGGGCGAGAAGGATAACTTGGACAACTACCGTCCAATCACACTTCTTAACTTCACGTACAAGGTGCTGGCGCGGGTGGTGGCGAACCGGATGAAGCTGCACCTGCACAAGGTGATTTCGGCGGAGCAGTACGGTTTTATCCCCGGCAGGAGAATCTCGGATGCCATCGGGGTGGTTGCGGATGTTATCGAGGCGGCGAAAAAGGGGAACAAGGACTGGTACATGTTGCTGGTGGATTTCCGCAAGGCCTTCGACTCGGTGTCTAGAAGCTTCCTCTTCGACGTCCTCAAGGAGATGGGTTTCCCGGAGAGATTCGTCGTATGGGTGGAAGGTCTGCACAAAGACACCAGAACGAGGCTGTTAATCAATGGCTGGCTGGGGGAAGCAGTGGATGTGAAATCGGGGGTGAGACAGGGTTGCCCCCTCGCTCCTTACCTGTTTCTCTGCGCGGTGGAGCCGCTGGCACAGGAGGCAGAGCGGCGGAAGATCGGTCTCTGCGACAAGGCAAACCAACGGTTAGCGTACGTAGGCTATGCAGACGACACGACACTCTTTCTGGATGGGAAAAGACAAATCGCCGGAGCTGAGAAGCTGCTAACCTGGTTTGCCAGGCTGTCGGGGCTGCAGACGAACAAGGGCAAGTCGGTGATCCTCCCGATCGGCCACAACATTGGGAGGAGACCGGGCACATTGGGAGGTTTTAAATGGGCCAAGGCGGATGAAGCGGAGAGAGTCCTGGGTGTCTGGGTCACCCCCTCCGGAAGCAGTGAGCCGACCTGGAAGCGGGCTTTCGAAAAAATAATCGTGGAGGTGATAAAGTGGAAGGCGCTGTTTCTCACGATTGCGGCGAGGGTTGTGATTATCAACTGCTACATCACATAGAGGATAGCATATCAGGCACAGGTGTATCCCTCGTCAGAGGAGATCTGGAAGAAGCTCATGAAGCTGATTCACAACTTTCTAACGGGCAACAATGCATCTGCAGAGAAAGGTTTTGTGCTGTGGAACTGGGGGTTGCTTACCACGCCGAAAGCTGACGGAGGTCTCGGAGTTTTAGACCCGGAGGTGCTACTCGCCTGCCTTGCCGCGAGAAGAATTGGCTGCTTGCTGCTGGAGGGGAACGGGAAAAAAAAGGAAATTATGCTAAAGGCGGCGGGATTACCGCTCGGTGAGGACACGTTCCTGGCTCATGAACGGCTGTTAAAGCATTGGCCCGGGGGAAATGAGCGCTGGTTGCGGACGTGCGAGACTTTCATGAAATCTCCGATTGCAGACACTGGGAAGTCAGACAGCAAAGGGGAGGTGGCGCAGGAGAGGGTGGTTTTTAACCGAAAGCTGCTGTTGAACGGCACGAACCCAGTGGGGGGACAGAAGGAAGCTAAGGGCCTCTGGGGGACTAGGCTGGGTGATTTGGTAACCGTGCGACAGGATGGTGCGGTGGAGATTAAGGACATCGATACGCTCGAGCGGGAGCTACGCAGCAGGGACTCAGCTCGGCTGGCTCTCAAGGCACTTGATGCAGCGCCGCAGGAATGGAAGACAGTGCTCGTCCCGGATGCCAGAGGAGAGGGTGCAGAGTCTGGGGGGAAAAACTTGTCAGACAACAGCGGCGGAGGGGAACATGCAGCGGCAACAATTTTTCGTTCGGCGATTTTCACGAATGGGCAGCTGTCATCCCTGAAGCAGTTGAGGGAATCGTGGGCCAAGCCAGACGCGGTCCTTACGAAGCAGGAGAAGTGGACCGGCAAGTGGAGCGGCAAGATAGACTGGGACCGAATCATCCGTACCAGAAACTCGCTTGCTATCCCGAACCGACCGCGCGATGTCCTCACGCGTATACACAACCACAACCTTCAGGTTGGGGAGAGGGTGGATTTTCTCAGCAGCAAGCCGAAGTGCCCATACTGTGGAGAGATTGAGACACAGGACCACTGCCTTTTCAGCTGCCCGGTGATCCAGCCTGTGGTTTCTGGTCTCCGGCGCGCTTTGCACATGCTCAACCCCACAAGGACACTTGCCTCGTTCGGCGATCTACTGTTCCAGGAATCCGGGACCACGTCAGATTTTCCAGAGGCTACACTAACGGCCATCACCTTTCACCAGTTGTGGGTGGAACGTTGCGAGGCGAGTTTCCGTGGGCAGAAATTCAGAGCCCGGGGGGTGCTCAGGAGAATTGGGACGGCTTTCCGGCTGCATGCAAGGGTGTACACGAGAGTGACCGGGGCGAAATGTGTGAAGCCGGGCAAGCTGGGGAAGCTCAAGAGAGTCAGGGGGGTTTTTGAAGCAGAACAGAAGATGCTGATGAGGATCAGGGAGGCTGACAACAGGAAGTGGATTTGGTCGGCTAGTTTCGCTGCTATTTGGAACAGGCCTAAGAGGGATTTTCTACCGCCCTAGTTGACTCGCTGGGCAGCGCAAGGTGTCTGCCTTCACGCTCAGTTACGACTGCTATTGCTGTATGCATTGTCCCTTTTAATGTATACTTCAATTACAAAAAAAAAAAACAAGAGGCGACTAGGTCGTCCTAGGGTTGCGAAGCAAATTGGTATGAAACTTTCTCATTGTAGTGTAGTATGAAACCATAGTAGCGTGGTACAAAGTGGTGCATCATCTTTCCTAAAAAGTTCAAATCTGTCCTGGAGTTGGAATCGAACCCTCGACCTTTCGATTCTCAGCAAAGTTTCAACCGACTGGGAAAACGTTGCTGCTTTACGAGCGTAACGTATTTTACAGGACCGTTTATTTTGCGACGAATTTGGCATTGCATTAGGGTTAGTTCAACCCTTTCCTTTCTCCCTCGCTAGTTGAACCACCCCCGCCAGTCACGCTACTCCACCTGCAGATGCAAGGTGAGATCAACCTAAGTTAGGTGATTAAGAGCTAGCCTGTATAGAACTAAGTTAGGAGATTAAGAGCTAGCCTATCATTTCTTATTATCGTATCGTAGTCGTTTACTCAATTCTTGGTCATTTTAAAGGATCCAGGTTTTTAAAGGTTAGGTTCTAGACTTGTTTCAAGTACTTAAGCTTTAAGTCGTTTATAAGCTATCGAGATAGTAGGACGAAAGATAGAACAGAGAAGAGGGTTTGTACTAGCAGCATGCAAGGTACATATAGGAAACCCTAATTTGGGTTGTACTCGCTATAGAGTACCCCACTGCAGGCTAGACAATTACAACATTCTGACACACCCCCATAGCCAAAGTGGGGTGTAATCAGCACAAATAACCAGTCATAGATCAAGTCCACAAATGCAAGTAAAGCTAGAGGCAGTCACAGAGGGCAAGTGAGGAGGAGGAGAGACTGTGAGGGGCGATCTGCTGCAGACACAACGGGCAACAGGAGCGGCGTGCACAGTGGCTACCGAGCGCACGAGGGCACCGGACTACGGGAGTATCTGGCTCCGCGGCTACGACGAGCACACACAGGAGCAACTGACCCACAGGCGACTGGCGAAGCAGGCTCGCTGGGCTACCGAAACGCGCGAGGGCATCCGGACTACTGGCGCTGCTGGCGTCACGACGGCTACCTCCACGCAACCTCCCCCGACCGTCCCACGCCCCTCTCACACACCCCCTGCTGACACCCTAGCTCCACTTCCACGGCACCCCCCTTAAACCCTAAACCTCGGCTCCCACACATCCACCCCCCTCAGCGGCAGCTGCAGCAGTGGGAGACGGAGGAGGAGGAGGAGCAGGGGACGGCGCACACACACGGCACCCCCAGAGCTGCCACCCCCACACTCCTCACCCCCAAACCCTAAAAACGGGCGGAACGGGGGAAGGAGCGCGGGGGACGGCGAGGGGGACGGCGCTCGGCCCCCAGAACGCGACCACGGGGCAGCGAGGGGCCGCGCGCGGCTCCCCAGGGCGGCGCGACGGGAAATCGGGGCCGCGGGGGGTCGCGCGCGGCTCCCCAGGGCGGCACGACGGGAAATCGGGGCCGCGGGGGGTCGCGCGCGGCTCCCCAGGGCGGCACGACGGGAAATCGGGGCCGCGGGGGGTCGCGCGCGGCTCCCCAGGGCGGCACGACGGGAAATCGGGGCCGCGGGGGGTCGCGCGCGGCTCCCCAGGGCGGCACGACGGGAAAACGGGGCCGCGGGGGGTCGCGTGCGGCTCCCCAGGGCGACGGGATCGCGGGGCCGCGGGCGACGGGACCGGAGGGCCGCGGGCGACGGGATCGGGGGGCCGCGGGCGTCCCCCACGGTAGGAAACCGCCGTGCGCCTCGGTGCGCACGGCGGGGAGAAAACCGCCGCACGCCCCGAGCGCGCGGCGGGATGAAAATGTGAAGGTCGCGCGCCACGGGGCGCGCGACACAGAGTAGGGCAGCGGAAGCAGCAGTGGGGCCCACAGGCCAGGAGCGTGAACGCTCTGATACCATATCGAGATAGTAGGACGAAAGATAGAACAGAGAAGAGGGTTTGTACTAGCAGCATGCAAGGTACATATAGGAAACCCTAATTTGGGTTGTACTCGCTATAGAGTACCCCACTGCAGGCTAGACAATTACAACATTCTGACATAAGCCTGCATGCGTTCTTTAGTTCCTCATCGTCCTTTTCCTTCCGTCGCATCCTTATCACCTTGTAGTTGCATATGTTATTTGACATTCTCACTTCATTTCCTCTTTTGTTCTTTCTATGTAGATTTGAATACTTAACCTTCACGTTTTAGTTCTTGTCTTGTGCTCCTTATTTATTGCCACCACCCATACGTGCCTTCTCCATTTCGTTTCTGAGCTCTATATACCCTTGCCCTTCAGCTTTCATTCCATTCAGTCATGAGGTACACATTCAACGGGCGTCCCCTTTCAACTATGCACGATCTAATCGTAGCTAGGTGAGTTCGCTCTATTGATATTTTTGTTTTGTTTTTTTGTTGTTGTTTTTTTAGTATTTGTATTTCGCCTCTCGTGTTTCTCTTATCCGTTCCTCTTTCCGTATTAGTCTGAACTTTATCCTTGTTCATTAGACATGAACTTCTGTTTGTTTCCGTTGCATCTCGTTTCCGTTTCAACAATGTTTTTCTTGAATTGGTTTATTCTACGTTATAGGTTCTTTGTTAACCAGCACTCGTTTATAGTTTTGAACGGTCCTCTTATTGGGCTCTTCATTCTTAGATCGGTTTCTTAATTATTTGTTCCCTTTCTTCTTTTGTAGTTTTTTTGTTTCTGTTGCACCTAGTTTCCTTGCTTCTCTATTTTCTCTTGTTTCTCTGATCCTTTTTATTTTCTGTTTCACATCTTTCCATATGCTTCTTTCAGCATGTTTGTTATCTGATTCTTGTATCCATGTTAACTAACTGGTTCTTTTTTTTTTTTTTAAATGGAAATTGGATGTATCAAATCAGTTCAGCACGTGAATAGCAAAATTATAATTGTTAAGAGAACTAGGCAAGAATGAGTGCATTGAATGGGAGAATTGGGTACAAGTAGCAAACCCTAGTTGGGGTTGTACCCCATATGAGCTACCCCACTACAGCCTACCAACATATAACACATTACAATTTAACACACCCCCATAGGCAAAGTGGGGGAGAACAAAGGGTCACAAGACCAGTCAAGCAATGCAAGCCCAGGGTGGATCACAAAGTCACCACACTCCGAGCACAAGCAAAGGCCACAAGGCCAGTTCACATGCAGTGCTAGATATAGTACAAGACAAGCAACAAGATATATATAAAGTACAGTACAAAGAATGTCAAGCAGTGAGCAAGTGAGGAAACGTGGACACAAGGCCTAAAGAAGTACAGTGCCGCTGATGATCACTAGGCGGGAGCGCCTTGGTGAAGATATCAGCAGTGTTGGCCTTCGAGTCCACGTACACAAGCCGAAGCTGACCTCGCTGCTGCAGCTCTCGAGCAAGAAAGTAGCGAAGAGCAATG